ATATATTTTAATTAATATTAAAATTTATATATTACCATGCTTTATTCTAATTAAGAGATATAGAGTGTATTCATTCCGATTACGAGGGATGATTTCCGTATCGTCATTTTTCGTCACTACCTCCACCTTCCGGGAGTGAGTAATTTACGCGCCTGCTGCTTTCCTTGGATGTGGTAGCCGTTTCTCAGACTCCCTCCCCGGAATCGAACCTTGATTTCCCGTTACCCATTACAACCATGATATTGATAGTAACTACTATCATAACATGAAACTAAAAAGTAAAAAATAAATATAGTTTAAAAAATCTAAAAAAACACGCTTTTAAAGCACATCGAACTAAAAAGTTAAAAATAATTTTTAAACTTATTTTAAAAATTATTTTATAACTTTTTAGTTCGATGTGCTTTAAAAGCTTGTTTTTTTAGTTTTTTTAAACTATATTTTTATATTTCTTAATAATTTTATACGACGTAAAATGACGTAATAACAAAATATCTGATGAATTAAACTGGTTAATGACGATTATTTAAAAAAACATAAAATTGTTAAATTGTTTTTACGTCTAGTTTTCAATCACATAGATTATACAAAATAAACATCCTTTTACATTTTTATCAAATTCTATAATAAAATACATAAACATTAATTAAACCTTTCATTACAATAGTTTCTAAAAATAATTTTGCTTCGTTTAATATCATTTCATTTCTTTAAGTAAATTAATAATCGTACCTAAATCATTAAGTTTGTATTATTATCGTAAATATTACATAATCACTAAATAAATAATTTTTAGATACCTTCATTATCTTCCACCGACGCTGTATAAATATCATACAATTATTATATTTTTTCTATACATAAGACGTATTTATACTTAAGTTATATTTATAATTATTGAACTAAATTGCCGTATAGTTGTAATAAATGATTAATAAAAGGAGATTTAAATTGAAAAATATTCTTTGACGATCAGATATAATAAAATAAACTCTTATGGGTAATGATCTTGGTTGATCATTTTATTTTATTTATGATACTCATTGATAATCAAAGAACCCAATATTAAAGAAAATAATAGTTAATTTGTTTTTTATTGATACCATCAATTTCGTAGAAAGTAATCATCGTTTATTATATGTAAATTTATATAAAATAGTGTAATCAGACTTAATGTTCTTTTTAGATGCATATACACATCTATACATTTAAAATCTGAAATTTTTTTTTTTAATTTATTTACTTGCTATTAAAACTGGTATTAGTTCCCAATCTTGTTTAATTTGTACTAAAAACCACGTGTACAATGATTCAGACAAATTGACTAACTTAAGCTTTTATTGAATCTTTTAAGTTATTTTAATTATAAAGAGCTGCCCTATTGCTTCAAATAGCCTCCTACTACTACTAAATAACTGTAGTTATCACGTAAACGTGATATTAGGTATATTAAAAATTATGTAACTATAATGACGCAAAAAATGTATGGATATGTCAACAATAAAAAAAACCCAACTCAAATAATATGAGAATAGCACAGTTTTTTTTTTTTTTTATCTAGTCCGTTTTTGATGTATCATATGGTAAAATATAGTGTTCAGCAAGTAAAAAAAGGGTTTTTATTGTTCTCATTGGTTATAACAATTAACCTATTTCCTTACTTACTGAACATTTATATAATAAAGTTGAGATCATTAAAACTTTTTATTAGCATTTTAAAAATACTAACATTAATTAATAATTAATTAAAAAAAGAATGTAAATAGTATTAATCGTTGTGACTCCTAATGTCATAACATTATAATATTTAAAGATGTTTATGTTGACTATTAATCTATCAATTATCTAATAGCGTGTATAATTGAGACATCTAATTTCAAAATTAGTTAAAATAATTTTTGAAATTGTCAGGGATAACAAAAAAAGAAAAGTTTTACAATGGGTTATATGAGGAAAACAATTTTTCATGTTCAGTTAAGGCTAATTATAATTTTTTCAGGTGTTAAATATTTTTACAAACTAATTTACAGAAAATACAAAAAACCAGTATTATAAAAGGTTGTTTTAGCTGATTTTTTCTTAATACCATCGATTTTATTGAAAATAATCGCCTGTTGTTATATTGTAAATTTATATGGAATAACTTTTATTATTTTCTATTTTTAATTAAAGGATATGTGTACTTTCATAATTTGTTTAATTAAGTTATCTAATACATTATTTAAAGTTTGAACCGAATATACAGTTTTCTTAGGTTAAAATATCGGATTTAGTTTGAAGAATAATTCACATTTGGATTTCCACATATGCTTAATTTTGAAAATTAAATAATAATATTTGAGTTAACATAAATCTTTAAAATTATACTGTTTACTTTTAAAAATTATTTTGATGATTCTAGAAAATTTATAACGTTTCCTTAAAAGTAAATTTTTTTTATTAAAATAAGTAAAAAAATGTTTTTATGCAAATAATAATAGCTAGAATTTAAAGTTCTGTAATATAAATTTATTAAAATACTACCTTTTGTTAGAATGAAGTACAAAACCATATATTTGATAAAATGTAAATTCTAAAAAATAATCTAAGCATGAATTGTTTGAAGTTTGAATATAGTTTAAAATAGAATACTGACCATTTTCTTAAATTAAAAAAAATACAAAGAATTTTCTAAATTTTCAATAATTAAAATGTTTAAAAGAGAATAATTTCTTTGAAATAAACTTTATAAAATCTGACGGTTATAAATTGCTTAAATGAGTTCAGTACTTAAAATGTATTTATGTGAGTAAATTATTTGTCAAATGTCTTGCAACACATGTTTTTTAAATTTATGTAGCCGTATTTTCTACAATGATAATAATTTCATTATTTACAAGAAAAAAAATTTTAGTGTTTTATATTAAGGATATGGTGACGTGGCATAATTAAGACTAGTATTGATGATATTTGACAGTAATTAACATCACTATTATAAAAATGCTTCGATGCAAATCTGTTTAGAAATGAATCTATACAAGCTTTATGCTTTTATTTTATATAAGTTAGAGAACGTAGTTTTGAGATACTTATCTAAATTTTTAAAATTGAGGTTTCTTTTAACTTTTGATGTTGAAAGATTCTATTGCATTAAAATCGGGTTTCTTTAACGTATAAATCAACAAAATTATACAACTTGTAATCAGAATATAGTAAGGGAATAGGAGTTAGTGTTCATTGTTGATCCAAAAATTTCATTTAAGATTTAAACACAATCTACAGATTTGCATCGAAGCGTTTATTATGATAGAAATTTTAATCACTGTCAGATTAAATCTATACTGTACCCAACTATGTCACGTCCCCACTGTGACGCGACCCCACTGTGCTGGGTTTTATTTTATTTTATTCGAATGTTTTATTTTTCTATTTACTAACCATAAATCAAGATAAATTTTTATTCCGTTTGCCATAAAGATTACAAAATTACAGTCCACAAAAGAATCCGTAGCTCAATTTTATTTTATTTTTAAGATCACCTATTTTTGTTAAATTAAACTAGCATAAACGAAAATTTATTTCGGTGGTTTGGCGTCCGAATAATAACGTCATATAGAAACCATTTTGAGACCTTTGTTTAAATGGGCTATAAATATTCAAATTAATTTTTGAACATCTCACAATATTAATTGTTTTTAGTAATTGGGATATCAGTGCCATTAGTTATCATTTGATATAAAAATCAAGCTGATCAATTATACGAATTTAATTGTATAAATAAAGCCATTTCGTTACTAATTTATATCTATGTATTTATCATTATAATTGATCACCAGATAGGTAATCGATTATACCTAACAAAGTTTAAAGTGGTAAAAAATGTCAGAGGGGACTATACCCCTAAATCATTTTGGCTGTTTCATCAATCCATAAAATTAGATCTAAGAGTTAAACACTATATACAGATTTGCATCGAAACGATTTTTATGACAGTTATTTAACTCGCCGTCAGATATCATCTATACTTGTCCTAACTATGCTGTTTCCTCACTGAATCGCAACCCCACTGTCCTAACGTTTTTTAACAAAAAACTATTACAACATTTTTTTTAACATAAAAATAATGTAATTTTATTAGTTGTTATTATAAGTTACGACACGATACCGTGTTTCCCTCAGTCATACATTACGTTATTAATCTATGTGAAAGTGTATTGGGATCTGAATCATAAGTTCATGGTGGACTAGTAATAAGATTTGTCCTACAACATCATAGTTTACGCGTTATAATCTCGTGCCGTGCTTCTATTTTTCACACGATTTCCGGTACACTTTTTACAACCAGCAGTTGTTAATTTTTAAGTAGTGTAATTCCGAATCGGTTGAGTAATTTGTAATTTAATTTAATTACAAAAAAAAAAATAATTTACCTAGATCTTTCTGTTTCTTAAGAAAAAATTATTCTATAATAAAATTTAGGGAAAACTTTTGATAGTTTAAAAGATTAACCAATGATAATATTTTATAAATAAATGGACAATGGTCTGTATACAATTTTGAATGATTGATAACCAGTTTTGAATTATTCCTTTTTGAAATATTAGCATTTGAAGGTATAGAAAAGTTGATAAAAGTTTAGCGTTGGAGTATTAAGGGACGCTCTATTTTTACTATTACGCGCAGATCAAAATTCTTCTATGATGTACACCTGGATTGCGTTTAACTATGGTTATAGTAATTATAATAATTATAACAACTCAAAAAGTAATGATACAATACTAGGTATATACATCTAAATACGCTATTTTAGATGTTTTGTATGAGAAGAGGGGGTAGATAGCTTTTCGATTGTAAAATAAAAGGGTGATTCACCCTTTCACTACCCCTAACTACTAGGCTAATATGTTTTTATGTCCATGAGAAGGAGATCCGGACCTCTCTGTAAATATATCACTGGTTATATACTTGATTACTACCTGGTTACTAAATTTAAATAATTTTCGTGTATCTTTTGTCGATTTTCACATGCCATTTTACAACTAAATGTTTTAATAAAATGCTAATTAGCTAATTTGAAGAGTACATACATTTACAAAAAGTATGTTCAAACAATCGATATTTTAGTTATTTTTATGTTTTATTTATTATAGCTATAAGACTTTTATTAATAAATAAAAGTGCTAAATAGCTTCTAGTCGAAGATATTTAATATGCGTATTTATTTTTAGTCATTCAAAGTCCTTATAAACTGTAATTATTTGTTGTTTTTATAATTATTTAAAGTTTGTTTGTAGGATCAAAATATTATTTTTGTAAAATAGAAAAACATGTTTTCAAACTTGAAAATTATTTTTGTGAACTGTATTTTATTTAATATTTAAAAATTTAATAAATGATAATAACGTTATTCTAATTCATATTATTATTCTAATTAAGAATAATGTTCAAATGATAACTAGCTTAACAAAATAATTTTTAAGACCGTAAAGATGTTTTTGATTCTATAAAAATAATATTTTGATTCTACAAATAAACTTTAAATAATTATAATAATTATAACAAATTCGAGTTTCTAATTGTAGTTTATAAGGACTAATAAGAACAATAATATTCAGATCCTATATAGAAAATTCTAATTGAAAAAACTGTTTTCATTAATTAAATCAATTTATTCATTTTTGTAACTTACCTACCGCCGTAGGTGAGGTAGCCGTAGGTTAATATATTCTAGAAATATTAACTATGTAATCAGGTGTATCATTTCACAAAGTTGCTTTAAATTTACCCACCATAGTATAACAACTAAATTAATTTTACATAAAAAAAAAAATTTCAAATAATAGCCAAATGAATTTTTTTTTTACTATTTTAACATAAATTAAATTAATTTTTTTTCATGTTCATGTAATTTTGAGAATAGAATATTGTAACTAAAAAAAAAAATTATACAAAAAACATATATTTTGATATGTTACATCAAAAACTAAAATTGTTTAAAGACACTTATTAAGAACTCCTGAATATTATTTTGTAATTGCGTAAAGTATAGAATACATGGTTGTCTGACTGTCGTCGGACACGGGAATGTGCTGACCATGGAATTTAGGGAAACCATGGGCAAAGAACTACCACTGTAATCATGGTTTAGTATACACTAATTACACTTAGGTGTTATTCCATTCCATAATTCTACTTCATCTTATTCATCCTATTTCATTATCCTATCATTTTTATTAATATTAAGAATTAAAGTTGTATTCTATTATTTATTGTTCATTCACATAATATATTCTACATTTTTATTGAAAAGTGAGTGTTTTCGTTTTTTTTTTTTAAGTTTAATTCCTTTACTTCGTAGGCTCGTACAACAGGAAATGTCTCAAAATTCCCAGTAAATGGGAGATATAAAAAATTTGAATTTAGCAACAGTAGGGTAAAATAGGGTATTCACGTCTCCCTCCAGACCCCCATCACTCCTCGGATGGGAAAGGGTTGAGGGGGGAATAAATCCAACGTAAACTAACTCATGGTCACGAAACTTGACGTAACCGACTCCAAGTAGTTGGGATTAAGGCGAGGATGAAGAAGATGAAGGCCGCGACCGCGATATGAATGTATAATATTCAATCAGTGTCAATTTCTATGTATAAATATTATCTTTGTTATAAATACGTAATTGTGTATGTACTAATGATTATTAAGATCTAATGGTTTGCTGCTGCTGCTAAATGAAAACCCTACGCCGACGACGATCACCAACGTTTGTATATGAAAAACATTGTGTATTGTTGGGAACATGGCGTAGAGCGGTGAACATTGATGGATGGATGGATGACCCACTGTGTATCTTAAAAAATATGACTATGATACCTATACTATATGGTAGATATTTTAGGAATAGATTTAGGAGGTGCAGAACTGGGTCGACTGGTGTTGCCGCAGTTATTAGGCAATTTTTTTACACAGAGATACGAGTATCGAACCCTTGTGGTGGTAGAAGAATCGGTTGCTGTAAGAATATTTAGAGAAGTGAAAAAGACGAAGAAGAACTATACAGGTGGCCCAGCACTCACTGATAACTTAAATAACTTTTGATCCAGTTAATATTTTTAGCTGATTTTTTTTTTAAATAATAATTATACGTTAGGTTAAAATATTAAAATATATTAAATATTAAAAATATTAATTATTTTTAAATTTTAAATAAAATGTAAAAAAAAATCTAAGATAGTAATTTTGTAGAGTAGAATTTAAGAAAAACTTTAATAAAAAAATATCTTATTAATATTCAGTAGTAAATATTCTGTAGCATTTTAAAGTTTGTGAAAATTTGAATTTTTATGTATTATTATACGGTATTAAACATTGAAATACGTATTGAGAATAGGACAGAAGAAAACACTATCTTTTCATGATTACTATAATTTACAAACTTGGTATTAATACCATGGTAAGAAATTTGATAAGGCAATTATTACTTATCACTCTCATTCAAAAGTATAAGTCATGTTCATGGAAAAAGTTACACACCTCCAAATTATAGTAATCATGAAAAGATAGTGTTTTTTTCTGTCCTTTTTTCAATAGGTATTTTAATGTTTAATACCGTAAAATAATGCACAAGAAAATTTTTTTTACAATAATACATAAAATAAATCGATTAAATTTTAATTCAGTAGTGATACTAAAGATAAAAATTAATTTTTAAAAATTATGCCTCCTGAAATTATTTTTCAGATTATTTTAAAAATTTACCAAAA